TGTTCATCACCAGTTCCCCCATGAGGCGTTTTCAAAACCATTGCTTTTTGTTTCTCTTATTCTGTCATGTTGCAAGGAACATTCATCGCATTGTATTTCGCATCAATTGCAGCAATTATATCATATTATGTTGCATCCATGTGCATCGTGCCTATTCATCATATTGTGTCTATCATTATCACCAGAGAGTGGATTTAGGTAGTTGCATGCATTAAGCTTGTTCACCCTTTCCTCTCTACGTGAGACGTAGTTAAGATTGCATCTTTTTACATCCTCTTTACATGAGACATAGTTAGGATTGTATCTTTCACCCTCTCCACGTGAGACGTAGTTTGGTTTGCACTTGTTCATCCGTCTCTGCATGAGATGTAGTTTGGTTTGCAACTCTTCCACCCTCTCTATGTGAGACGTAGTTTGGCTTTCACCTTTTCATCCCTCTCTACATGAGACGTAGTTTGGCTTGTACCTTTCCTCACTATGTGAGACGTAGTTTGGTCTGCTTCTTTAATCCTCTCTACGTGAGACGTAGTTAGGATTGCATTTCTTACATCCTCCCTACATGAGACATAGTTAGGATTGCATCTTTCACCACCTCTCTACGTGAGACGTAGTTTGGTTCATATCTTTCACTTCTCTCTGCGTGAGACGTAGTTTGGATTGCATCTCTTCATCCTCTCTACGTGAGACGTAGTTACGATTGCATTTCTTTCACTCCTCTCTGCGTGAGATGTAGTTTGGATTGCATGTTTTCATCCTCTCTACATGACACGTAGTTAAGATTGCATTTCTTTCACTCCTCTCTACCTGAGACGTAGTTTGGATTTCATCTTTTCATCCTCTCTACATGAGACGTAGTTAGGATTGCATTTTCTTACATCCTTTCTCTGTGAGACGTAGTTTGGCTTGCATTTTCATCCTCTCTGCATGAGACATAGTTTGGGCTTGCATTTTCTTACAACCTTTCCACGTGAGATGTAGTTTGGCTTGTATCTTCACATCCTCTTTACGTGAGATGTAATTTGACTTGCATCTTTTCACCCTCTCTATGTGAGACATAGTTTGGCTTGCATATTCTCACATCTTTTCTACGTGGCACGTAGTTTGGCTTGTATCTCCCATCCTCCTTTCTTGTGAAATGTGTTTGGAATTGTTGTTTGCTTATTCCTTCTCATGTGAAACATGGTTAGATTTCTTTTGATTTGGCTTGAGGCTTCTTTCATTCATGTGCCGTCACCTTGTCATATTTATTACTCATTGTATTGTCTTGCATGATCATGAATTTTCAAAATAACTGGCTTCACAAAGTATGTAAGTCCATCTTTCAAGTGTAGTCTTAAGCATATCATTTGCATCTTGTCCTTGAACTACGCTAGTTTGATTCCTTGCAAATGGATACGTAGGAAACTTTCAAGTTCAACTAAATGCATTTACGTTTTGTTTGTCTGCCCAAGTCTTACGGCCTTGTCAAATGGGTCATCTTCGGGCTTTGACATTCACTCACATCATTTCATGATTTCAAGCTTTATCAAAGAGGGCAACTATAAACACCCCATTTTGACTGCCCTTAAGACTTGAACGCCTCACTCTAAACATTCGATGATGAAATGTTACACTGTGCAATCATTTGATTTTCTTCAGCAAAATGCCTCGGTTTCAAGCTTTAAAACCTAAGCCCTATGCCCCCTTTGGACCAAAACCTTATTTTTTCTATCCCAACCACTCAGAGAACTGCTGGCCAACAAATGGCCGGCTAGCCATTTTCATTAGACCGACCGTACCTCCTGATGGTCAGCCAACCATGTTTAGCAACAGTAGATATTTTGAGACAACCAATTATCCCCATATGCATGACTTGCACCAGTTGTCCCTTTGCTAATATTTGCAACGTGAGAACTTGTTTTTCCATAAATACAAGGCCTCTCCTAAGGGTTTGGGGTTACAAAAATTCTCCAATAGCTAAAAACTTATCCAACACACTACCCTCCTCTCTTGCAATATACATACACTATATACACCTTTTAAGCTTAAACTTGAAGCTTTTGCCGAGGTTCTTGAATCTAACTTCAACTCCTTGAGAGTGCTTGGTTTGTGGTTTGTTAACTAGGGGGCTTTTTCTCTTTTCCAAGAGGTATATCTTGAGCTCTTTTACAATCTTTTCTCTCTCTTTTCTTTACCTTTTCATACTGATTTCACAGCTTTTAAAGCTTAAAAATGTGATTTAAAGTTGCAAAAAGTGGAGGGGTTAGCCACCCTTCCTTAAGCTTGCTTACTAGGTTTGTCCTCTTCCATTTTTGTTCATATTTTATATGTTTTTTTAAACCGATTTTCAACACTGTTTTGTGCTATTTTGGTGCTGTTTAAAGTGTTTATTTAATTCATGCTCTGAAATATTATACTTGTGTTGTTGTGAGTCCTCATGGATTTGGTATATAGGTCTTAGCTTCCAATCTATTTGAGTTGATAGTCCTTTCTTTCATTTTTCATAGCTTTCATGTACATATTCACACCATGATAATCATCCACCTTTTCATTAGCAATTTGTAATCTCCCTCCTTTCTTTGTTTCTTTTGATAAAGAGTGGTATCAAACAAAACACTATCGCTCAAGGCATACGAAAGAGACTTATCGTGCTAAATGGTTTAATCTCTTCGAAGGTTCATTACTAGGGCATTACATCTCTCTTATGCTAAGCATGATTTTTGTCTGATACTTCTCTTTATCGTCGTTGTGTTACTTCTAAGGGACTAATTTTCTAGTTAGATCCATGGAAATCACAAAGGAAAGGTTCATTATAGCATATTATCAAGTTTGGATTTGGAGTCATTATCGCTCGTTTTAGGTTTGATTACGAATTCATGATCTCTTGTAAATGAGTTTGATCCTTCCTTTGTAGTTTCCCCTATAGAAAAGGACTTGAAAAGCTCATTTCTCGGGTTAAGTCATGCTTGCTACTCTTTATTGCTTTGGATTTAGTGAACGTAATCATCACCTTTGGACAGAAAGGAAGAAAAGATAAGAAAAATAGAAAGGTAATGTAAAAAAAGGCTAATACAATTGGAGTAACAGAGTGAAAAGACAATAAAATTTGGTTAGGTTCAGTCGGACGTTATACTGAACCTATTGCATCTTGAATCATCGCATACTATTGTTATGATGTTTGATGATTCATGAGGCAACTCTGCTCCCTCTCTTGAGGTAACTCCATGATAGAGAGGTATTGTTTATCTTTTGTTTCATTTATTGAGCTCTTTTCCCCTTATTTCTAAAGTCATCATGCAACAAATTTGCAATGATTGATGATTTGAGAATAGAATTTGCTCCTCCCTTGATCAATCTTCATGATAGGGAAGGGTAGAGAGGATAAACATCTTGTGGAAACAATATGTTTTTGCTCTGTTTCAACTCTATTGCAGCAGTGGCTGACCGACCATCATTCAGTACGGCCGACCATCTCTCAGGCCGGCTGGCCATCCATTTTGTAAAGGCATTGGCATTTTTACAGCAGAACAAAGTAGAATCTGAGGCCAAAACAAAATAAACTTTTGAGAGGTTTCTGGAGTGTGTTTTCAATTGTGCACATGTGATTCTTCACCTCCTGTTCAAGTCCATTAGATTAGCTGCTTTAATATTCGTATTCATATGTTGTAATTAATTAGTTTCTTTACTTTCATTCGGACTTGTAATAATTAGTTAGCTTAGTTTATTCAAGTGTGTTGTAATAATTAGTTTAATTAGGACATTCATTCGAACCCTCTTGTGCAAGGGCTAACTTGTAATATTTGTATATTTTCGAACCCTCATTTCTTTCTCCCTTTTATTTATATGCTTACCGTGGTTGTATATAGCATCATACTTTTGGTTTCATATCATTGCCATGATTTGTATCCATTTTGCATGCATTGGGTTCGGTTCATCATTCCAATATCATTGTTATTTTCCTACTTACTTGAATATGTGCATTACCGCATGCTTTTAGATGATCTATATGACATGATAAAAAAGCCGAACCTAATAGTTGCATTTTGTATGTGTTGCATTAGTCACTTTGCATATTAAGAACATGCATTTTTCTAATTATTTTCTTCTTCTTGGCTTGCCTTGGTTGAGTACTAGGTGAGCATTTTTTGCTTTAGCATGTTACATGAGTGTTTGTGTTTCCATATCAAGCATACCACCCTAAGGCTACGTGCTTATTTGAAATATCTCTTTGAATGCCTATGGATGAAAGCTATTTCGCTTAAGTTTGAATGACTTTGATAAATGAACGTATGTGCTTGCTTTTCATTCAAGTAGCACATACTCAAAACTGCTTTCAAACAAACATGTAATCAAAGCATTCTGAAGTGGGTGAAATAGTCTATACTTGTGTGCCTCACATAGTAAGTTGGCATAATAATCAGAACATGAACATATAATGTTGATAAAAATCACATCATGACTAGTATAGGCCCATCTTTGATCGAGTGAGTGGAGTGCTCAATTCATAACCTTCCCCTCTCATACCTAAGTTCCCGAGCGAAGACACTTCGATTATGACGGACAAGTGACCTTCAGCACGAGTAATGAGTTTCCTAAATTTTTCAAAAATATTTAAGTGACGACTCTGAAATCTGGCAATGCAGTCCATTTTTAGCATCTCTCATGATAAATGAATTTTTTAAGATTTACTAGACTTGGACTATCATTCTTTTTTTTTTTAGTGCACTTGTAAAACCAGATTCAGAACCACGAGAGTCTGAACTGTAGGGCTATCATACCCAAGGAGACTAACACATCCGAGGAGTGCAAAAAACCAACTACAACTAGACCCTATCAAATATCCCTTTGAGAAGCCAGCATTAACTGGTAGGCTAGCACATTGGTTGTTACTTCTAGCTAAGTTCGGCTTGAAGCACATCCCCAGGAAATCAATAAAGGGTAGGGCAGTGCCAAAATTCTTAGCAGATCAACTAGTCAGTGAAGAAGAAGGCTTAGAATTCTTGTTGTCTGGTGAGGAAATCATGCAAGTACTGGAAGAAACTTGGAAATTGTACTTTAATGGAGCTTCAAACCAAATTGACTATGGGATAGGGGTCCTTCTTATTGCCTCTAATAAGTCTCATGTGCCATTGGCTTTCAGGCTTCGTTTTGAAGTATCCAACAATCAGGCAGAATACAAGCCTTGCATTGCTGGGTTTGAAGCAGCCCTTGAGGTAGCGGCAAGGCGGTTAGACATTATCAGAGACTCAAACTTGGTAGTCTCACAAGCTAGAGGGGATTAAAAAGTCAAAGAGGAAAATATGAAAGTGTACCATCAGAGTCTAGATTGTCTGCTACCTAGGTTTGAGAACATCACATTCACCCACATGTTGAGGAAAAACAACAGGTTTGTTGATGCCTTGGCTACTCTAGCTTATGTGGTTGATAACCTAGAAAGCATCAAAATGAAACCAATCATCATAGAGAAAAAATACATGTCAGCCTACGAGTTGATTGCTATAATAGAAGAAGTCCAAGATAGACATCCATGGTACTATGACATCTGGAATTTCATAGAGAATAAAGATTATTCGCATGGAGCAACAGAGAAACACAGAAGAGCTATCCGCTATTTAGCTACCCAATACATTCCGTGTGGAGGAAGGCTATATAAAAGGGGTCATCTGGGGATGCCCAAAAGCTATGTGTAGATGGTGAAGAAGGGGAAAAGCTCATGGAATCCATACATGGCAAAGAATGTGGAGCTCATATGAGTAGGGTTGTGCTAGCAAGAAAAATCCTTAGACAAGGGTATTGCATGGAGAGTGATTTCATGCGGTTTGTTAGAAGATGCCATAAATGCCAGATTCAAGCAAATCTTATGAATGTGCCATCCTCACAGTTGCACCTCGCACTAACAGTTCTCAATTTGGGGCATTGATGTAATTGGGGCAGTCACACCAAGGGGATCAAACAAACAAGAATATATACTATTGACCATCGATTATTTTACTAAGTGGGTCAAAGCAACATCCTTCTTAGTACTCAAAGCCTTACATGTGGCTAAATTCATCAAAAAAATATCATTTGCAGATATGGAGTGTGAAATGAAATAATATTAGATCATGGTTTTCATTTTAAAGGAGAAATGGTCGTTTTTCTTGAAAAATATGATGTGACTTTCCATAAGTCATCGCCATACTGAGCACAAACCAACAGGGCTATTGAAACTACAAAAAATAATGTTAAGAGCATTCTGTGAAAAATAATTGATAAATACAAGGGTTGACCAAACAAGTTGCCATTCATGTTATGGGGTACCGAACATCAATTAGAACTTTAACTGGGGCAACTTCCTATTCTCTAGTCTATGAGATAGAAGTTGTCTTACCTATTAAGACTGAGGTCCCTTCACTACAAGTGTTGGCTGAGTGTCAAATTGAAGAGGCTGAGTGGCAAAAAAGCAGGCTTGAAGAACTAATGCTCTTTGACGAGAAAAGGTTGCAAGCATTGTATCATGCCCAAGGTTATCGACGAAGGATTTTCTAGGCATTTAACAAAAAGGTGAAGGCCAGAAATCTGAAAGATGGGGATCTGGTTGTGACCACCCCGACATGCACATGATCATTGCATACTGAATTATTTTATAATTTGTTTACATGTTTAAAATCGTGTATATCTGTTTGTTCTTGGAATATCTATTTGAATGCTTACTTCGAATCTAAAATTGAAAGCCTTAGCAAATTCAGAAATTGAAATTGACTAGCTTAATAGGCTAATTAGGATATTTAGAATCATATGGGACGTTTGATTAAAATTTCATTCAGACTAAATTAATTAGAATTAATTAATTGATTGATTAAAATCAATTAGAACTGAGCTAGATTAATTAACCCTAAGATTGATTAATTAGTCTAACTTATTCTAACCTCTGTGTGTGTGTGTGTGTGTGTGTGTGTGTGTGTGTTTGTTAAGCTTAAGAATGAACTCAAACTCATAATATGGCTCAAATTTAGAGAGAGAGAGAGAGAGAGAGAGAGAGAGAGAACTTGAACAATTTGTTAGAGAAATGAAGAATTGTGAAGAGTAGAACAAGAAGTGAAGGAATTAAGCTAGCAAACCCTCAAATTCAAGCTTAAGGTAAGAATTTCAATCATAATCCTTGTAGATGTAATTGAATTCAAGAAGATAGTGAAATTAGATATAAGAATTAAGCTTGGATTGATGAATTTGGAAGCGTGGCTTACGTGCATGCGTAATTCTCCACTTTTGAATTTGGTTTTCAAAATCCTTACATGCATGAAGTTCATACTTGTTGATTTTGAGAACTCTCCATGAATTTATACTCAGTTGTTCATGTTTTGACAATTTGAAAGTCATGAGGATGACTTCCTTCTATGCATGGTTGAATTACATGGTTTGGAGTTTGATTTTGAGAATTAACAAAGGTTTTGAGTTTATTGTTTCAACTGGATTGCGTTTTGTAAAGAGTTTTATGCTTTTGGGTCCAGCCATGCAAGCTATACAACTTGAACTCATGATTTTAAACTTGAATTATATTCTGGATATTTCAAAATTTGACCACATCACTCGAGCGATAAAGTCGTCGCTCAAGCACACTTTGCATGCTCCTAGTATTTTTGCAAAACCTTGCATTTGGCTCGAGTGACCAAGTGTGTGCTCAAGTGAACACAGCTTTGCATTACACTTGGCTCGAGCTACCATCGAGCCTATATTTCAACCATCTAATACTTTTGCAGACCATGTGGTCCACTCGATTGACCAATAGTGCAGTCAAGTGAATGGCCATGTTTCAACAACTTTTGAAAAATGCTTTAAGTGCATACTTCCATTCTTATGTACCTTTAGGCATTCTTGGGAATTGCTTTTCAATCAATAATGAGAGAATGAGCTAGAAACACGTTTAAGGGAATTGAATTAAGATAGAACATTTGATTAAGACAATGTGTATCTTTGCTATATATTTTGTGTAGGTGATCATCCGAAGCCCTACATTTGTGCTAGCCTACTATAAGTAGTAGCTTTGTGAAGATATGTTCAAATGTATTTTGGATTATTCCAAGAATGATATTTGTGAAATGTTATTTATATGAATGAATGAATGTCCATTTTGTAAATGTATTTGTAGCATCCTTAATGAGGCTTATGCCTGGGGAAAACAATATCATGGCCCTTTGATTATTCGATTACAGAGATCTCAAATGGATGACCCTCGTGGTCCCTTTGCTATAACTTTATGGTCCCTTTGTATAGACCCTTGTGGTCCCTTTACTAGACCTTATGGTCCCTTTAATTAGGCCTTCGAGCGCATTTGTTATGCTAATAGATGTACCGCATATGACATTTGGTTACTGTGTTTGATATGATAAATGTTTGATTCGATTTCGTTATTCGATATTTGAAAATGTAAGGCATGATTTATAATGTATGATTCATCAAACCTCTTTATTCTGTTATTATTCACCGGGCTTTATCTCACCCCTCTCCCTTATATATATATATATAGGTGAGCAAATGGATCGTCAAGTTTAGAGATGTCTCGGGAGTCCACCCTTTTTGTGAAGCAACTCATGAAGTGCCTCCTCAATGGGGGCATTACTTGGTCTCAAGAGGAGCCAAGCATGTCAACCTTTTTTTTTTTTTAAGGTTTGTCTTTGTTATTTAGAAAACTATGTTTTATGTTTGGAAGTTGTGTAAAATGTTTAAGTTTGTTGGTCGTGTATATAGAATAAAGTTTATTATATCTATGTAATTTTCCATGCATGCAGTTTATAATGGACTATTTATAATTTGCTATTGCTTTCCCTAACCCCGTTTATTATATTATAATTTGATTTTGTCTTTGAGGCCGAAGGTAATTTGGGATTACTGGTCGGTCATGACCTAAACCTCTAGGGTCGGGTCCGGGTCGTGACACTAGTACTCAAAGAGAACCAAGCTCCGGCACATGACCCAAGAAGAACATTCAAGCCAAACTGGACGGGGACAAACATCATTAAAAAGATTATCACTGGGAGAGCAATTACTCTAATGGATCAGGATGAGATAGAATTCACGTAACCTATTAACTTGGACAAACTAAAAAGGTGCTACCGTTGTTGAGCGAGCTCATTAGGCCGAAAACTCGAAAGGGAAACCTAAGAAAAAAATTAGAGCAAAAAATAAATAAATAAATAAAAATTGAAAGCTCGCAAGATTGAAAACTCAAAAAAGCAATCTTGGCAGAAGTTAGAGTGCAAAGGAGAGAGTTAACACCCAAGTGAACCCTACCATGAACTACGAATGGCCTGATTCCCAACCTTTGGGATATGTAGCCAACTCCAAACTTGAGTTCGGCCCTATCTCATCCAAATTATATCCTATGGGTTTACAAGCATCGAGGCATTTTCGTTCTATAACTCATAGAATCGACCATGGAAATGTCCGATTAGTGAATTTGCAAAATTGTCTTTTGAAATCATTTTAATGAGCAAGACGGGTGATTTTTATTCCTTTCTAATTGACCATGTACACAATATTTTCAAAACAAAAGTTCAGAAAGGTCATGCATGTAGTAAGAAGGTTAGAAAGGTCAACAAAAAGGATGTAGAATTTTCCCCTGTTGTTCGCTCGCGCAGACAGCCTCACCGCTCTTACGGTCAAGTTTCACTCATGTGGAGGTAATGGTTGCTCAAGCGAGAAGAATGCATCCTCTTTTTTGGTTCATGCTCTGCTCTTGCGGAGCTCGCAGCTGCACGAGCGGTCCAGGCAAAACCAGACAGCCCGAAAATGACACAAAGTATAATCTATTATATTCATTTCCAAGCCCAAATTCCAACAAAACTAATTCAAAAACATGATGTACTAACATTATTCATGTGTAATTTCAACTCAAACACATCAATCTTGCTTAAAGTTCAAAATCAACATCTCATCTATTCCAAAAATTCAAGCATCACATGATCAAGTTTAAAATACATACATACATGGATGATCCTTACACAAATCTTTGTTGTATGAACAATCTAGAGCTCATTTCATGAGGTATTCACAAGATTGAACACAAATCAAACAAAGTTAAAGAGATCAAGGCTCAATTTCTTGAATTTAGCTTAAACAAACTCTCAACTCAAAACCCTAACTTATTTAGGTTTCAAACCTTCAAATTAATTCTTAATTTCAAACAAAAGATGAGTTAATCCAAGAGATCTATTTGAGTTTTAGATACCTTAAACCAATTCTTGAGTTTTCCCCTTGAGTCTCCTCAAAATCTCTAGCTTTCGTTCTCAATTCTTGGAGCTCTCCTTCCTCTCTCTCTCTCTCTCTCTCTCTCTCTCTCTCTCTCTCTCTCTCTCTAACTCTCAAGCAAAAGTTCTTAATAAAAGATGATTTCAAGACAACTTACTATATGTATAACTGAGGCTAGATTGACTTAGGGCAAGTTAATCTAGGATTTATGCTAATTAAACCCAATTAATTCACTACGAATCGTAATTTTACAAAATTTCATAGTAGGCTCTAAATCATGCCAAACACAGATATGAAGTCAGTTTTGGTTTCTAGTGCCTCTAAAGCTTTCCAATTTCAGTTCAAAGTTCTAATTGCAACAGATTTTCATACAAGTAACAGATATAAATTCAAAATCACTTACATCACATACTTAAACATGCAAATTCATATCAAACACATAATCACATGCATAATTAAGCAT